TTTTTTTTAGAAGAGGAAACCCTAACATTAATAACCTAGAATGTAAACTATCAAAAAGTTTTTCGAAAAGATACATCTTTACATAAACCAATTTTTTTCCAAAAAGACGCAACCCTAGGATGCTTTAATAACCATAAAACCAAATTTCTCAAAAAAACGCATCCCTATGATGTATTAATAACCACAAAATGATTTTTACAAAGAAGACGCTATCAAATCATGTATTAATAACTATAAAACGGTTTATTTAGAAAGCCACAGTTCTCAAAGATATTGTTAACCATAAAAAAATCTAAAAGATGCAACGCTTAGAGATTAATGAACAAAATTTTTTTTTTTTCAAAAACCCAATCCTAAGAAATATTAATAACCGTAAAACAATTTTTTTGAAAAGACGCAACCTAAGAGACAATAATAACCATAATTTTTTTTTTCAAAAATGTGTAACCCTAAAAGACACTAATAACCATAAAATATTTTTCTGGAAAGACACAACCCTAGCGTTAATAACTATAAAACGGTTATTTTTTTAAAAGAAACAACCCTAAAATATATTTTTCAGGATTGCTATTATTGATAGACGTGATCCTTAAAAAATATTTCTATAATTATTATTTAAATAAAAAAAAAATATTGTGAGACTCTAAAATAATTTTTGACATTTTTTTATCATATCATGTTTTGAGTGAATTTTAAAGTTAGTAATCATAAATGAAAAAATGTTCAATGAAACAAATATATAGAGTATGAAAAACACAAATCTATATAGCAGTGTTTTTTTGAAAAGATGCAACCATAGAGATTAAAAACCGTAAAACGTTTTTTCCGAAATGGCGCAATCCTAAAAGGCACTAATAACCGTAAATGGAATATCTTGAAAAGATGCAACCCTACCATTAAAAACCATAAATATATGTCAAACGGTATTTTCCTGAAAAAATGCAACCCTTGAAAATAACCATAAAGTGGTTATACTGAAAATACACAATTTTTGGAAATTATTTACTTTTGAAAGGACAAAACCACAAAACAGTTATAATGAAAATGCGCAGCCCTTGGAATAACGATAAAGTGGTTATATTGAAAAAACGCAATATTTGAAAATAACAATAAAAAATTATTTTTGAAAAACACAACTATCAAGCGGTTATCTACATATTAAATGCAACTTTTGTAAATAATTAGAAAGCGGTTATATCAAAAAGACGTAACTCTTGGAAATAACCATAAAACGGTTTTTTTCCTAAAGGACACAATCTTAAATAACCATAAAGCGGTTATATAAAAAAAAGGCAACTTTTGAAAAAGAGGTTATATAAAAAAGAGACAACTCTTAGAAATAATTATAAAGTGGTTATATTGAATAAACATAATTTTTCAAAATAACCAATAAACGATTTTTCCCAAAAAGACGCAATTTTTGGAAATACTAGAAATCGGTTATTTTTGAAAGAACACAACCATAAAGCGGTTATCTATATAGTTGATGCAACCTTTGGAAATAACCATTATACGATTATATCGAAAAAATGCAACTCTTAAAAAAAAGGTTATATAAAAAAGACGCAATCCTTGGAAATAACCGTTTAATTTTCGAAAAGACACAACCCTAAATAACCATAAAGCGGTTATATCAAAAATACAACTCTTATAAAATCGATTATATGGTAAAAATTTTAAATCGTCCAATGCATATAAAAAATATAGTTGATAACCAAATTGCCTCTATTTTGTAGTAATGTTAGCGCGGCTTCAATATTTCGATGTATACAACCCGTAAAAATTCCTTTCAAATATAAAAAATCAATGTTTCCGTAGAGAATTTTTAGATTTTGTTAGTTTTTTTTTATATGTAAAATTTGCCATAAAATCTGGATTGTCTAAAGAATCCAAAATTCTTTGAACATATCAAGAATTTTTGGAATTTTTACAATAGTAAAAAGTTTAGAGAAATTTCAAAAAATGCCACTTTTCAAGTGCCACTTTACAAAAATATCACACTTTTGAAATTTTTACAAAAATGCCACTTTTTCAAAATTATTTTTTCTTTATATTATTTATGTTTGGGTTAATTATGTTCTATTAGAGTTTAGTTTTGAGTTTAGGGGGTTTTAGGTGTCAAAACATTTTTAAGAGTTTAGAATTTTAAGATATAGGCTTTATAAATGTATAATTAGTGGCATTTTTGTAAATAGACACCCCTAAGTGGCATTCTTGCAAATGTGCACTCAAAAAATGGCATTTTTATAATTACCCCAAAAGTTTAATACTATTAAATAATTTGTAAATAATCGAACCACTTTTTTATCTTTGTTATGTGTTAAGTTAATTACAGAAACAGTAGGCATGTTAAACAAAATGTTCAACGAGATAAAAAGTGAAAAGATATACTCGCTTCGTTTCAAAATATAAGTTGTTTTAGTTAAAATTGCGAATATTAAGAAACTACATTTCTTTTAAAA